ACAAAATTTACTATTTTAATTATACAGATACAAGTACATATATTAAAGTAAAATATACTAAAATATTAGCATTGTAGTACAAACGGTGTGACCAAAATATTTTTTTAAATATAGCATCTATAAATTCACCTGTCACAGTTTCTTGTTCATGTACTTTCTATCTGAGACTATTAAAATTTTGAATTATGTCACAAAATGTACTAACTTAAATATACAGTATTTTAGTACAGACTTATAAGTATAATATATTAAAATTTCAGCATTTTAGTACAAACGGTGCGTCCAAATTTTTTATTTAAATATAGTGTCTATAAATTTACTTGTCAAAGTTTCTTGTTTATGTACTCTTTATATTTGAATGTTACTATTTAAAATTGCGTGACAAAATTTACTAATTAAAGTATACATAATTTTAGTACATACATTTAAGTATGTTGTGCCTGAATTTAAACATTGTAGTACAAACGGTACGCCCGAAATAAATATCTAAAAATATTATGTCTATTACTTGTTTGTTTTAGGTACTTTCTATATTAGACTATTAGTATTTTCAACTACTTCACGAAATTTACTAATTCAAGTATACAGTATGTTAGTACATATATTTGAGTATAATATATTAAAATTTCAGTATTTTAGTACAAACGGCACGCTCGTAATAAATATTCAAAAATTTGATGTCTATATACTAGCCATAGTTGCATGTTTAAGGGTACTTTCTATACTAAGCTATTAATATTTTCAATTTCGTAACAAAACTTGCAAATTTAAGTATACAATAATTTAGTATATACACTTAAGTATATTATACCGAAATTTTAGCAATGTATTACAATAGGCGCACCCAAAATAAATATTTCAAAATACTTTATTTTTATTTACGCTTCGAAGTCGATATCTAGTTAAGTCGTTAGTGAAATCCTACATTTCTTCTCCTATTTCGTTTGCTCGTCAGTAGAGTTCCTGTTCATTTTATTACCAAATTGGTGGATTTTTTTAAAGTAGAAATACTCGTTGCTAGTCATAAAAAGTCATAGTTTAATTTTATGTCAAAATTCAGTAGTTGGATCTTAAGAAGAGTCATTTTTTATCATTCATTTTACTATATAAGAGACTTATTAGAAAAGTCCTTTTTTTGAGATTCCTCGTTAGTAGTCCTACTTTTTAAATTCACAAAATAGTCATGAAATATATTGTTATATATTAATATATATAAAAAAACTAATCGACTTCCTAATTCCATTCCAATGGATCCATTACTAGAACAATATACGTCTTGAGCAACATCAACAATTACCAAATAGATAATTTTAAAACAATACACCTTTCATTCCGTTACTAATTATTACTATTATTATTATATGGTTGCCAATGATGTTATTGTTGTTGTTTTTATTCGGTTTCTAATTAGTAACAACGCCTCAAAACCTGGATAAGAAAAAAAAAACTCTGACCATATTGGTAAATAATTACCAGTCATTATTTTTGGCACAATTCTTCCGGATGGTAAGAATTTGGATCTTAGAGGAAATCTGAGGAAAAAATTACCATTTTGAGAAAAGATACTAAAGTTGGATTTTTTAAGGAAAAAATATTACCAAAAATTGTCAGAGGAGTGTAGACTCAGGTGGAATTATTTTGGATCTTAAAAAAAAAGTTAGAAGTGTTTCAAAAGAGCTGTCTTTATATGGAAATTTTTTTGAAATTCATAAGAGATTCGGGACAAATTATTTATTACCAGAAGTTAAAATCAATTAATTCAGGACAGCTAGCACAGTAGGAAAGACCTTGATGCTAGTAGTAATTAAGTATACAGGGACTAAAATAAAAATTGTGATAAAAGTAGATATAAAATGATGTTTCGGAAATTGCGGTCAAATTCTATAATTACTCACTAAAGAAATTTTTATGAATATGTTCAAATTTGATTATTTTTTTAATGATGACTCTATTTACTATATATTTCTATTCCCATTCGTCCCATTGTCCCCTATCCCATCAATTATCCAACCAGAATGTGTAACCATTAAGTAACTAGTGTTACGTTTTTCTTTCGTTTGATACTATATGATATGATATTATATTATATCGAATTAGAAAGTAATTGAGCAAACGAATAAAAGTGTTACAATTCGATAATAATTAAATAATAATAATTGTAATAATTATAAAGATAAACTAATGGTGTATGGCATCGTAATTGCTGGAACTTCCCGTTGCAACAAATTTCATTTTCGATTTTCGGCCCATTATTATAACTACCCTACGGAAAGTGAAAAAAACATTTTTTTCTAAATAATCATGTAATACGTTTCGGAACTTGATATATTCCATCATCCCCTTTTCTGTAATATTTTTTTAAATTAAAAAAAAAAAACAGAATGCAAGAACCTTTTTCTAATTATTAACAAGATGAAAACATGTTTAGTTTAAAATATCTCGTCAAAATTTGCAAATTTTTCGAGTCATACTTTTGATTTTTACTCATCATCTGTGCAAATATGTACATACGAAAATTCTCTTTTTAAATAAAAAATTTATAATTCAAAATAATACTTTATATTGGAAAGTCTTCTATTTAAAAAATTAAATAAAACCAAATAAATGTATTAAAATTTTAGAATTATATTTATTTTCAAAAAATAAATTTTTATTGCGGAAGTTCGATACTCAGATAGGCGAGAAACCTAAATACATAGTTTTGACTCATCTTCAGTGCAAACATACAAATTCTCTTTTAAATAAAAAAAAAAAAATAATTCAAATTAATACTTTTTTAGAAAAATTTTCCATTTGAAAAAATACAATAAACGCAAACAATAAACCAAATAAATGTATTAAAATTTTGGAATTATATTTATTTTCAAAAAATATTTTTATTCGGGAAGTTCGGGAATAGGCGACAAACCTAAAACAATCTATCTACTTCTTGTACTTTTAACATCTAACTTTGTCTTGAAATTATATCAGCAAACTTTTCAGACACTTATTAGTTTCCTCACAAATTAATTTTAAACAAAACAGTACTTATTTTTATTACAAATTTTATTACTCGATTCCTGCCTGCAA